CGCCCGGCAGAACGATATTGACCCGCACATCGCCGCCTGGACCAGTACCCAATCTCCCACCGACGCCATGAACATCCTGCAGCAGGCCGGCGTTCCGGCCGGCGCCGTGATGAACCAGGCCGACGCGTTCGCCGATCCGCACATCCAGAACCGGCAGTTCTTCCAACCCGCCTCCCAGGCCGATTGCGGCACACACCTTTACCACGGCGCCCTGTACAAAATGTCGGAAACGCCTTTGGGAATCCAGCGGGGCCCGGTCATGCTGGGGCAGGATAACGATTATGTCTACCAAACCCTGCTGGGCTATTCTGCAGCGGAATGCGCTGAATTCGAAGCCTCCGGTCATATCGGCACCGACTACGCGGCAGGCGTCGGCGAGGCCTGATCAGCGCAATTGCATCAGCGATGGCGACGGGCCAGGTGCGGATTCCTCTACAAATTCGGCGTGCAGTGTTAGGATAAAGTAACATTCACACCCGACCTGTAATTGCTTAAGCGAGGTATCATTATGCCTACCAAACGAATCGGACTGCACGCCGGCGCTGCCAACGCCGAGGCATCCCTGGACCTGATGCGACGGGCTGAAGCCGCTGGAGTCAACGCGACCTGGCTAACCACGGGCGGGACCGGCCTCGATGCGCTCACCCTCTTCGCAGCCGCCTCCGTCCAGACCGACAACATCCACTTCGGCACCTCAATCACACCCACCTACCCGCGGCACCCGATAGTTACCGCCCAACAGGTTCAGGTGATCGACCAACTGGCTCCCGGTCGTTTCCGGTTGGGCGTCGGCCCCAGCCACCGGCCGACCATGCGCTCCATGTTCGGATTCAACCTGCGCACGCCGCTGTCCAACCTGCGGGAATATCTGCAAATCCTGCGCAGCCTGCTGCACGAAGGGTCGGTCGACTTTCAGGGAGAACATTACACCGCCCGCGCCAGCATCCCCCAGCCGGTCAACGTCCCGGTTATGGCCTCGGCCCTGCAGGAAGGTTCCTTTGAGTTGTGCGGCGCAGAGGCTGACGGAGCCATCAGCTGGGTTTCGCCCGCCGAGTACCTGCGCGACACCGCATTGCCGGCCATGCGCCGCGGCTCTGACTCAACTGGCCGGGAAACGCCGCCGCTGATCGCTCACGCTCCGGTCTGCATCCACGACAACCCCGAGGAAATCCGCCTGGCCGTCCAGCAGCAGTTATCCAACTACCCACGTCTGCCCTTTTACCAACGCATGTGGGCCGCCGCCGGGTATCCGGAAGCCGCGGAAGAAACCTGGAGCGACGCCATGATTTCAGCGACCGTGCTCACTGGCGACGAGGACACCGTCGGCGAGCGCATGAAGGCGATGCTTGACATGGGGATGACCGAACTTCTGGTAACTCCAGTGACCGCCGGGGACGATCCCGACGAGGCGATGGAACGCACCATCGCGCTGCTGGCCAAAGTAGCCCGGTCGCTCTAACTGCACTCCACCATCACCTGTCGCCGGAGCGCCAACATGAAACTCGGCCTGTTCAACATGCCCCTGCACCCGCCGGGTCGGCTGCACGCCGACACCTACGACGAAGACCTCGATCTGATGTCTTTCGCCGACGAATTGGGTTATGCGGAAGCCTGGATTGGCGAGCATTTCACCACCGAGTGGGAGAACATGCCTGCCCCCGATCTCTTTATCGCCCGAGCCCTGGGCGTCACCAGGAATCTGGTAATGGGCACCGGTGTTTCCCTGCTGGCCTTCCACGACCCGGTGATGATCGCCCACCGCATGGCGATGCTGGATCATCTGGCCCGGGGACGTTTCTTCTTCGGAATCGGTTCGGGAGGGGTTCCCACTGACTCGGAAATGTTCGGCATGGACCGCATGTCGGGGCAACAGCGCAACCGAATGCGCGAGGCTGCCGAGCTGATCGTAAGTATGTGGACGGTCGAAAACCCCGGCGAATTCCATTTCGAAGGTGAACACTACGACGTAAAGCTACCCGCATCTCGCCCCGAAATGGGCCTTGCCTACCACATGAGACCCTATCAGAAACCTCATCCGCCCATCGCCGTCGCCGGCAGCAGTCCGTCGTCCCCAACGCTGGAGGTCGCTGGCGAACTGGGTTGGTGGCCCATGAGCACCCTGTTCCTGCACCACACTCATCTCCCCAACCATTGGGACACCTACGCCCGCGGCGCTCAAACCAGCGGCCGCGATGTTTCCCGCTCCCAGTGGCGCATCGCCCGCGAGGTTTACGTCGGGGAAACGACCGAACAGGCCGTACAGGACGTCATGACCGGCCCGCCCGCTGACACCTTCAATCGGTACTTCATTCCGCTGTTGGGCCAGGGTCAGCGCGGACTGGATGGCATCAAGACCAGCCCCGACTTGCCCAATTCCGCCCTGACGCCCGAATACATGCTGGAGAATTTCTGGATCGTGGGAGATCCGGACGATTGCGCCCGTCAGATCCGCCAGTTGTCCGACGATGCCGGTGGATTCGGCACGCTCCTGGTGCTGTGCCACGACTGGGGCGCCGACCGGAGCAAGGGCCTGCGCTCCCTGGAGTTGCTGGCCAAAGAAACCTTGCCTCAATTGGACGACCTGAACGCAGACTAACGATCCTTGCCCCCCGATGGCAACACAAGGAGATCACCATGTTCATCGCTACCAACCTTATCAAAGTCAAGACCGGTTATGGAGACACTCTGGAGAGCATGTTCAAAGCGCGCGGAGCCGTACAGGACCATCCTGGGTTCGTCAGCTTTGAGCTGTGGAAAATGACCAAGACACCGGATCACGAGGAGTTTCTGGTAGTAACTCACTGGGAGACGGAAGAACACCATCAGACCTGGACGCGCAGCGACGCATTTCGTTCAGCGCACGCCGGCGGCCCGCCCGACTTCCTGATCGGCGGCGGCGAGTTTCACACCTACGAGGTGGTGCACCGCCTTGATACCTCCGGTGTGGCAGCCGCAGATTGACGATCGGAGCAGGTTGCCGACACCAACACCAACCGGTCAACCCGGCCTTTAGCCGCAACCCAGGCCGCTCCGGCAACAGCGGCCATACCCAACCACGACGGTCTCCGGCGAGGACGTGCTGCCCGGGATTGCCTTCCAGGTGGCGCGTTGGATCTTCGACGTAACCTGACGGGCCGCACCACCGAATAAAACGCTAAAGCCCCGGAATCATCGGGGTTTTTTGATGGCGCCGCTGGTCAGGCGGATATAGCTCAGCATGAACAGCGCGGATTGCAGCGCATGACTCCGCAGATGCACGGGGACAGCTGAAAACTCGCCGGGATCTTCCACCAAGCGCAGCTAGAGCCATGCCGCCGCCAGGTTGGTACGCGCGTACTTGGACTTTTGCGACGCATACGATTTCGGCGACGAGCACCGCTCGCCCCGGCTCCGCGCACTGGGGGCACCGGATTCGAGCGGGTGAGGGGCACTGGCTAGCCCGGTGTCCTGGCAATACAGCCGCACCAGGCAGGCCAACGCGCAGGCAACCCTGCTGTCGTAGATGGGCAGGTCCGCAATCAGTGCAGAGCAGATCTTGCTGAACCCCGATCCCATGTAGGGGACATCGTCCAAATCATCGGTATCGGCGGTTGCAGGGTTGAGCTTGAGCCTGGCCTCTGAGATAAGCAACTGAAGCTGCGAGGGTTACGTGCGCTCCCAGCGACCCAACGTGGGGAGGTTGATTCCGCCCCTCCTCGCTACCGATCGGGCGGTGTCGACGAACTTGCGCTGGCGGTCAGGGGTATCGATAATCCCGATTTTATCGAAGGTCTGGCGACATTCGTCAAAGGTCTCAACGGTTTGGCGGAAGATTTGGCCCGAGGATGAATTTGGCCATCGGTAGGACTGGTACGCTTCATACAGCGAAGAACAGCGAAACTCCGGACCCTTTGCCCTTCCAGGAATGTTCCAGTCGCCACACGCCGCGAACCAGGTGGCGTGACCATTCCACGAACCGGGCAACTTGGTCATCGGCCAAGTACTCGGCGCGTTTCAAAGTAAGGCTCCTTTGGAGCGCTGTCTGGAACAGAGAAAGGCCCCGGTGTAACGCCGGGGCCAATTTAGTTACTCATTTGGTAGCGGGGGTTGGACTCGAACCAACGACCTTCGGGTTATGAGCCCGACGAGCTGCCACTGCTCCACCCCGCACTGAAGTGCCGTAACTGAACAGGAAGTTTGAACTTGGAATGATTTCTATTTCGAAACAATCCGAACCGAGCCAAGAGAATTAGAAGCTCTTAGCGTGGGTCAAATCGCTCGACTGGTTAGTACCGGTTTGCTGAAGCTGTTACCAGCCTTACACATCCGGCCTATCAAGCAGCTAGTCTCGCTGCAGTCTTACCCCTGCCTAAACAGGGAGGGAGGCCTAATCTTGGGGGATGCTTCGCGCTTAGATGCCTTCAGCGCTTATCGCTTCCAAACATGGCTACCCAGCGCTGCTCCTGGCGGAACAACTGGAACACCATAGGTTTTGTCCTTCCCGGTCCTCTCGTACTAGGGAAAGGTTCCCTCAAGCCTCCTACGCCCACGGCGGATAGAGACCGAACTGTCTCACGACGTTCTGAACCCAACTCACGTACCCCTTTAATCGGCGAACAGCCGAACCCTTGGGACCTCCTACAGCCCCAGGATGGGACGAGGCGACATCGAGGTGCCAAACCTCGCCGTCGATGTGAACTCTTGGGCGAGATAAGCCTGTTATCCCCGGGGTAGCTTTTATCCGATAAGCCACGGCCCTTCCACTCGGTGCCGTAGGATCACTTTGCCCGACTTTCGTCCCTGCTCGACTTGTAGGTCTCGCAGTCAAGCTCGCTTATGCCAATACGTTCTATGGACGATTTCCATCCGTCCTGAGCGAACCTTTGGGCGCCTCCGTTACTTTTTGGGAGGCAACCGCCCCAGTTAAACTGCCCACCAAACACTGTTCCCCAGTTGCGCTGGGGTTAGAACCAAAAACAGACAAGGGTGGTATTTCAACGGCGACTCCACACTTACTGGCGTAAGCGCTTCAAAGTCTCCCACCTATCCTACACATGACAGCTCCCGGCCCAATGTCAGGCTACAGTAAAGCTCCACGGGGTCTTTTTGTCCTGCCGCGGGTCGCCCGCGTCTTCACGGGCACCGCAATTTCACCGAGCCCTCCGCCGAGACAATGGCCAAGTCGTTCAACCATTCATGCGGGTCGGAACTTACCCGACAAGGGACTTCGCTACCTTAGGACCGTTAGAGTTACGGCCGCCGTTCACCGGGGCTTCAGTTTGGAGCTTGCACTCCGCCCCTTAACCTTCCGGCACTGGGCAGGCGTCAGCCTGTATACGTAGGGTTTCCCCTTAGCACAGACCTGTGTTTTTGTTAAACAGTCGCCCGGCCTTCTTCTCTGCGCCCCCAGAACGCTCCACCAGCTAGTGGCTTCACCTTCCAGGGGGCCCTTTCTCCCGAAGTTACAGGGCCCTTTTGTCTAGTTCCTTAGCGGAGGTTAGCTCGAACACCTTAGGACGTTTATCCTAGCCCACCAGTGGCGGTTTACGGTACGGTCGCTCCTGCTCCATAACCACGAAGCTTTTCTTGTCGGTGTGGCATCAACGAGGTTTCCTTTCCCGTAGGTTAGGATTCCCTCACTCCTCAGCTTAACGTCAGGGTGGATTTGCCTGCCCCAACTCGCCTACAAGCAAGGACGCACCATGTCCAATGGGCACGCCCCGCCTAGCCTTCCGCACCCCTCCTTGGTTTTAAAGCGAAACAATAGCGGTGCAGGAATATTAACCTGCTGTCCATCGCCTTCGGCTCTTGCCTACGGCTTAGGACCGACTAACCCTACGCCGAACAACGTTGCGTAGGAAACCTTGGGCTTTCGGTGTCAGGGATTCTCACCCTGATTTACGCTACTCATTCCGGGATTCTCACTTCCCCGCGCTCCAGCAAGCCTCACGGCTTACCTTCACCGCCCGAGGAACGCTCCCCTACCATGCCCAGGCAGTTATCAAGTCTTCCCTTCACTCTGCTTCCGGCGCTCCCGAAGGAGTGCCTTCAGCCTGGTTCCGTTTCAACTTGCACCTGTACATCCACGGCTTCGGCGACAAACTTTAGCCCCGTTACATTTTCCGCGCAGGATCCCTCGACCAGTGAGCTATTACGCACTCTTTAAAGGGTGGCTGCTTCTAAGCCAACCTCCTGGCTGTTTTGGGAACCCCACCTCGTTTCCCACTTAGTCTGCTCTTGGGGGCCTTAGCCGGTGGTCTGGGCTGTTTCCCTTTTGACAATCGCACTTATCTGTGACTGTCTCACTCCCGGGTATCGGTAGAACGGCATTGGTGGTTTGATTGAGTTTGGTAAGCTCACGCCCCCTAGCCCATTCAGTGCCCTACCTCCGTCCTCCTAGTTCCCGAGGCTGCACCTAAATGCATTTCGGGGAGAACCAGCTATTTCCGGGTTCGATTGGCATTTCACCTCTACCCACAACTCATCCCAAGCTTTTGTACTAGCTACGAGTTCGATCCTTCAGTTCGCGTTAACGAACCTTCAATCTGGCCATGGGTAGCTCACCCGGTTTCGGGTCTACTACATGGAACTGGTCGCCCTATTAAGACTCGCTTTCGCTACGGCTCCGGAACTACAGTCCCTTAACCTCGCTCCATACAGTAAGTCCCCGGATCATTCTTCAATAGGCACGCCGTCACCCCTTTCAGGGCTCCGACATTCTGTAGGCTTACGGTTTCAGGTCTATTTCACTCCCCGCCAGGGGTTCTTTTCACCTTTCCCTCACGGTACTGGTACGCTATCGGTGACCAAGAGTATTTAGCCTTGGAGGGTGGTCCCCCCGACTTCCCACAGGGTTTCACGTGCCCCATGGTACTTAGGATCGTCCTCAGAAGCTCCATCCCTTTCGCCTACCGGGCTATCACCGTCTTCGGCGGACCTTCCCAGAGTCCTTCGGCTAGAGATGAAATTTGTAACTTCTTCAGGCCTGATGAGGCGGCCCTAGAAGCGTCCTGTTACCCCGTAACGACATAGGCCCTCATGCCACTAAGTCGTCACGGTTTAGGCTATTCCCCGTTCGTTCGCCACTACTGAGGGAATCTCGGTTGATTTATTTTCCTCGGGGTACTTAGATGTTTCAGTTCCCCCGCTTACCCCTCCTTTCGGAGTGTACCGATTCAACACCGGCACAGGTTTCCCCATTCGGACACCCCCGACTGCGCTCGTTAGACAGCTCGTCGAGGATTTTCGCAGCCTTACCGCGTCCTTCATCGGCTCTTGGTCCCAAGGCATCCACCGTAAGCCCTTAATAATTTGACCCACGCTAGGAACTTCAAATTCACTAGACTCGGTTCTTACAGTTCAAAACTTCCTATTCAGTTGTTAAACAGCCCAATTGGCTCAACCTGCTCGGCGTTTCCGCCGGTGGTGCGGGCCGTCTGTCTAAAACAGCCCTTCGCCCAATCGGTAACAACGGAGTATAGTCACAACATGGTATCCCGTCAAGGGGTCAATTAAGTCATTCTCCACACCCACTCCACGCCACCAGCCTGCTACCACGTTGCCCATTTACCCCCATAGCGCCGGTTCAAACCTCCTAGCGACCCACGAACGGAGGCATACCCCGGTTCTTGTCCAGGAACCACTGCACCGCTATTTTGTGGTCTTCAGTGCGGCGTACGTGCTCCTGGGCCGCCGATGCCATCTCCAGCGCCTCACGGAACGTCAAACCCATGCTCTGCTGAACCAGATACTTGGTCAACGAATGCGCCACCGTCGGACCATTGGCAATGCGAGTTGCCAGTTCCACGGCGCCTTCCATCAGCTGGTCATCCGGGAAGCTTTTGCTCGCCAAACCAATGCGCACCGCATCTTCACCACCCATCCAGTCACCCGTGTACTGGAGCAGCAGGGTATTGCTGGTACCGATAAGTTTGGGTAACTGCCAGCAACTTCCGTCCCCCGGAATCAGCCCGTTCAACACAAACCGCTCCGACAACCGGCCGCTGTCGCCCACCACCCGAATGTCGCACGACAGGGCCAGACCGCAGCCCACCCCGGCTGCCGGTCCGTTCACGGCCGCTATCGAAGGCTTCTGCAAATCATGGATCCGCAAGGGGACAAAGTTCACGCGGGGGCCGGCTTCCACGTTGCTATGCCGACCCAGCATGTACTCCATCTTGCCCCAGGTCAGGGGTTCAGGCTCCTCTTGACTCTCGCGATCCTCAATTCGCTGGCGGAAACCGCGCACGTTGGCTCCCGAGCAAAACGACGGTTCCGTTCCGGTCAGCAGCAACACCCTCTCCTCCGGATTGTTCTCAAACTCGTCGAGCCTCTCGAACATTTCAGCGGCCATATCCGGCCCCAGCGCATTGCGGGTCGGAGGGTCGTGCATCGTCATCACCAACACACCATCCACCACATCCGTCTTGATAAATTCGTAAGCCATAGCAGTCCCTCGCAATGCCCCGGTCTTATCGACCGGGGCCCAGATTGCCGATCATTCTACCCAACCGGTGGGTCGCCGGCAAAAACCCCGGGTACGTATTTGACCTTCACTGTGGGCGGAGAACACTATCGGCGGAGAACACGGTGATGTAACGTGCACCCGGTTTTTCAATCTCGGTTTGCCAATCTTTCCCGCTGTACCTTACAATCCAGCCATCAACATGCCCCAGCTGGTTCACAGCCAACTCAAGGAGGCAATCAATGCAATCCGGCAGCATCGTCAATCTTCACATCGCCCGCGTTAAGGGCACTCCTCCCGACCCCGTGGATTCTGCCCGCGCCGTTTCCGCAGAAGGGTTGGAGGGCGACCGGAGTCGAAACCCGCGTAACCTGCGTCAGGTCCTGGTCATGGACAAAGAAACGCTGGATCGCTACGGTCTGGAACCCGGACAGGTCAAGGAAAATATCACCGTAACCGGGATGGATCTGTCCCAGGCCACCCAGGGCCACGTCTTCTTCATCGGCAGCTCCGACAACCACGTTACGCTGGAAGTTACCGGCGACTGCGAACCCTGTCAGAAAATGGACGCCCTCATCCCCGGTTTGCAAAAGGAAATCTTTGGCCGGAGGGGCATACTGACGGTTGTCCTGCAGGGCGGCGAGATTAACATCGGCGACACCATCCGGCTAGAACCGTAAACCCGCGTCCCCGTCCCGCCGGCCGGTGGCTGAACAGCTGCCGGCCAACCTGTTGTCACATCGCAATCCGAGCTGACCCAACCCGTCGCTCAATGCGAGACGCACATGACCATTCCGGCGCAACCGTCCCGGTCACCGTCGTCCAGCAACTTCGATGCAGACGCCGAACGGGGTTACGAAATATTCAAGGCAGCCATGCCCAGGATGTATTTGTACAACGCCTTGGGTTTTGCGGTGCTGGGCGTTGTAGCCTGGTTCGCCCAGCGGTCCGGCCTCTTCGCTGACAGCGGGCTTTTCATCTACATCTTCACCATAGGGGGATGGTTCGTCGCCCTGTTTAGTCTGAGCCTGTTGGTCCGCCTCACTTCCGGGCCGGCCTCGGCTCTACTCTACTTGGGCCTGAGCGCTATGGGCGGGTGATGGCCGCTTTGTTATTGGGCAGCTACACCTACGGATCGATAGTGCTGGCGTGTGCATTAAGCGCAGTGCTTTACGGTGTCACGGCGACGATTACCCTCTCCACCGGCCGAAACCTGTACATCCGCCTGTCGCTGCTCGCCGTGGCCGCCATTGCGATTGCCATCGCCGCGGCCGTTAATATATTCATCGGATCTGGATTTTGGGGATGGACGTTGAGTTTGATACTCCCGCCCCTGTCGCTGTTATTGGTTGGTGTGGGTATCAACTCCATGCAGACCTCGGCCATCGAAGCGGTCTGGACGAACGCCTCCTTTCCGGTAAACCAGGTTGCAATCCGTGGCACCATTGGACTGTACGTAAATTTCGCCACCTTCTCCATCAACTCCATGGTCAACGAAGGCTCCATTTTCCAAGTATTAACCAATGTACAGACCAACTACGTTTTCCAGCGACACCCAATATTTGCGCGTCGGTTGGTAGGCAAGCATTACACTCGGACCGGCGACCCACCGAAGTAACCTTCCTTTCCGCCTCGAACCGCAAACCCGCTTCCCGTCGGTCGGTGGCTGAACAGCTGCCGGCCAACCCGCTGTCACATCGCTATCCGAGCTGATCCAACCCGTCGCTCAATAGGAGATGCACATGACCATTCCGGCGCAACCGTCCAAAACACGCGAGCCCGACTCCTACCACCCGGCGGATGAGGCGGTACCGGAGCCATCTCATCGCGTATTCACCGGAATGTACCTCTGGCTGGCACTGGGCATAGTCGTAGCCGGGGCGGCAGCATGGTGGTTTCAGCGATTGGGCCTACTCGAAGGCGCCGGCTGGCTGAGCTACCCGATTATAGCCGCCGCCTGGTTGTTGGGCCTACTGATCGTCGTATTCATCGCGCCCCGCGTGCCGCCGGCGCTGACCGCCGTCCCGGTCCTGGCGTATCACGTCTGGGCCGGCGCAACCGCGGCGCATTTTTTCGACTCATGGACCAATCCGGTATTACTGCCGGCGGGCGCGAGCATCGTCGCCACGCTGCTTTTGATGGCCATCTATTGCGCCTCAGGCCGGCGAAGCCTCTCCGGATGGCGCACCGCCCCGATCGTCGCGCTGGCGGGCGTCGGCGCGGCAGCCGTAGCGCAATTGGTAGTCGGATTCGCCGTTTGGTCGTGGTTGGCGACCTCGGCACTGACCTTCCTTTTGTTGTGGTTGACCTTCGCCCAGTCGCGGAAGCTGAACGACCCCGCACCCGGCACCAGGCGATTGGTGTCCGGGCGAGCCGCTATTGCATCGGCCATCGGCGTGTACGTCTACTTGTTCTTCCTGTTGGTGACCATCTTTAGTATCGTGGTGCTCCAGGATAGCGCGGCGTATCGTCGCCGCCTGGCAATCCGCAGAGATTCTATCGACACATTGCCACCGCAGACAACCGGAGTGTCTGGCCTCTGATTGAGCCCGACAGCGCCCGACCAGTATCCAGCACACAAAAGTCGCTGCGTCCGACTCCCAGCAAAAAGGGGAGGCAAAGTTGCCTCCCCTAAACGTCAGCCTGATGACCGGTTGGGTTACTTCACCAGTGTACTGCGTATCGCCGCACTCACGTCGTCAACGCCCGTAACGTCCTGCCACTGACGAACGGCGTCTTCGATGCGTTCTCCGGCAAGCACCCGACCCGCGTTTTCGCGGAATTTACCGGTGATATTATCCATCCCCCACGGGTTGACCTGACTACCCAGAATCTCACCGCGCGGTGTCTCGTGTTCAAACACGCGGCCGTCGTTCAGCGTAATCCGGATCGGCACACCCTTGGACACCGTACCGCCGCCGATTTCCCACTTGGACTGCACGCGCATCCCCACGCGTTCCATCATGTCCTGCATGTCCTGCTCGGCAATTTTCTCGTCGGTGAAGGTGTCGATATCGACCACACCATCCACCAGCGCCGCGGCCATGTTGTACTTCGCGCTGAACTTACCTTTCAGGTCCGATTCGGGCTCCTCATAGAGCATGACGGTCGATGCGAACGACTGCACAACCTCAGCGTTGGCAACGTCCCGGTGAGTAAATTCGTGCTCCCGCATCAAGCCGAAGATGCTGTCCAGCATGGCATGGTTGCCCCCGCAGGACGGGTACTTTTTGATGACCAGGGCGTCCTGAACCCGGAAGGGCTTGCCGAGGTTGCCGGCCGCTTCCTCCAGGTCGGTGTGTTCATCCCCAATGACCGTCGCCGTGAACCCCACCGGATGCTCAAGAATCTGTTCTCCAGCCGTGAACCCCCGTTGCGCCAACTGAGCGGCCATGACACCGTCGCGGCAGGTCATGCCGGCGTGCAGCGGCTTGGTCATGGTGCCGAAGTTGTGAATGACGCCCGAAGCCATCGATCCGGCCATTCCCAACGCCATGGAGGTTTGTTGCTGATCCAGCTTCAGCAGCTTGGCGCAGGCCGCCGCTGCCGCCAGCCGACCCAGAATCGCCGTGCTGTGGAAACCCCGGTGCATCTGCTGGCTGTGGTAGTGAGTGGCGTAATCCACTGCCAAACCCACCTCGCAGCCCACAATATAGGCTTCCATTAAGTCGCGCCCAGTGGCTCCGATACTTTCGCCCAGCGCCAGCAACGCCGGGAATATGGCCACCGTGGGGTGTCCGAAGCCACCAAAGTCATCATAATCCAGCGCATGGCCCATGGTTCCATTGACCAGCGCCGCGTTGAGCACCGACGTTCGCTCGCCAGAGGCCAAAATCGTCGCTTCTTCAGTACCGCCCAACTCACTCGCGTAGCTCCGGATTATGTCCCCCACCTTTTTGCGTAGACCCGGCCAGTATCACGCCCAGCAAATCAAAGCAGGACTCGTTGGCCACGCGAATCGCGTCCGGCGGTATGTCCTCGTAGGTCGTGTCCACGATCCACTTTGCCACCATTTCAGTCGCGCCCATCTTTGCGGTCCTCCTTGTCAGGTCGGCGGGGCTCGGTGTTCCGCCGTTTCGTGGTATCTCAATCAGTGCTATTTCGATCCAATGATCGACCCGGATTGGCCGGATTCAAGGCGATTATATCAACCCGACTGAGCCATTGCGAACGGGATACCGCCCGAGAAAACACCCGCGTGACCCGTCCTTGCCGCTGCTTATGTCGTTCTGCTAGACTGATTACGCCGGCGGCCTTCCATGTTTGTAACGCCCATCAGGCGTCGTCGGCGCAACACGGCACGAACGGAGGTGCGGCAATTATGATCTACGAAGTCCGGACTTACGACCTCAAGCCCGGCGGAGTCCCCATCTTTGAAGATGCCTTCGCCAAGGCTCTACCCCACCGGGAAAAGTACTCCAAACTGGCAGCGTTCTTCCATACCGAGATTGGCCCGCTGAACCAGGTTATCCACATCTGGCCCTTACGAAAGCCTCGATGAACGCGCCGAAGTGCGCGCCGAGGCCGGCAAGGACCCCAACTGGCCCCCGGATAGCCAGAACACCATCCTTCACATGGAATCCGAAATCTACCACCCGGCTCCCTTCATGCGGCCTATGGGCGGCGGACAGAAGTTGGGCAACGTTTACGAAATGCGGATCTATGAGTACCAGAACGGCACGATGCCCAAGGTGCTGGACATCTGGTCCGCCGCCATCGAACATCGCGAAAAGTTCTCACCGCTCGCCGCCGGCATGTACAGCGAATTCGGCGGGCTCAACAAGTGGGTACACATCTGGCCCTACGCAGACCTGGGTGAACGCGACAAGACCCGCGCCGCGGCATCGGCCTCCCCCCATTGGCCGCCGCCAACCCGCGAGTTCCTCGTCGGCCAGGAAGTGAAAATCCTGGTTCCGGCAGCGTTCTCGCCTCAGGCGTAGCAAACACTAACCCCCGCTACCAATACGGGGTCGGAGCTGGAGCAATCCGGTTCCGGCCCCGCTCGTTTGTTATAATCGAGCTCATTCCATTTCCTCTTGTCCAAGAGACACTGCATTACCCTCCCACCGAAAGAGGTCAACGCCCATGAATATCGGCATCGCAATGTTTGTGACCCAATCTTCCATCGACATCGCCGAATTGGCGCAAGCATGCGAAGGCCACGGGTTTGAGTCCCTTTGGGTCCCGGAGCATCCGGCAATTCCAGCCGGCCCGAAGTCCCCCTGGCCGGGCTCTCCCGACGGCCCGCCATCCCCCAGATGTACTACGAGTGTGTTGACCCTTTCGTTGCCTTGGGGCGCGCTTCTTCCGTAACGTCCACGCTGAAACTCGGCACCGGTATTTGCCTGGTGCCTGAGCGCAACCCCATCCTGCTCGCCAAAGAGATCGCCACTCTTGATTACTTCAGCGGCGGGCGCTTCCTCTTCGGCATTGGTACCGGTTGGCTGCGGGAAGAAACCGAGCTGTTCGGCGTAGAATTCTCTCAGCGTGTCGGTTACACCCGAGAATCAATCCAGGCCATGAAGGAACTCTGGACCAAGGAAGTAGGCGAGTTCCACGGTCGTTACATTGATTTTCCACCAATATATTCCGCGCCCAAGCCGGTACAAAAACCTCACCCGCCGGTGCTGATCGGTGGCCGCGCGAAAAACGTATTCCGGCGCATCGTTTCCTGGGGCGATGGCTGGATGCCCAACCGCATCACTCCTGAAGAGCTCCGTGATGGCAAGCAGGAAATTCAACGCCTGGCCGTCGAGGCCGGACGCGATCCCGATTCCATAGAAGTGTCGGTGTTCGGCCAACCGGCTGACCCCGAACTGCTGAAAGCTTACGAAGACGCCGGAGCCTCTCGTGCCATGGTGTTCGCTGAGAGCGCGCCACGCGATGCGGCCCTACGACAATTGGACGAATTCGCCGGCAAACTGCTGGCCTGACCCGGTTTGGACTTGCCGAATGACTTCCCCTCTCGACGAAATCGAAGCCCTGAAAATAGCCAATCAGCGTTTCTATGACGCCTTTGGCTCCCTCGACATTTCCGAAATGGACGCGGTGTGCGAACAATCCACCCGCGCCCTGTGCATACACCCGGGATGGCAACCCATTGTCGGGTGGAACGATATCCGGCGATCCTGGCAAAGCATCTTCAACGGCGCCGCCTTGATGCACTTCAATATCCACTATATAAACGTTGCGGTCGAGGGCAACTGCGGGTTTGTAACCTGTGTCGAGAGCATCACCAGTGTCGTCGGCGGTCAGGCCCAGGGGTTCGGCGTCCTGTCCACCAACATTTTTGCGCGCTCTGGCGATCAGTGGTTGGTGGTCGCTCACCACGCTTCTCCCCGGCTCTGAACGCGCGTACCGGCGAATCATGCCTGGGCATGATAGCATCTCGCCAGTGCGGGAGCCTCGGCATCCGACGGCAACCAGCCGGACCCGTCGAATCCGCGCCACAATTCATACTGAGATGGCAGCGCAATGACTACCAATTCTTCCCCGGACGTAACATCGCTTTCGCCAACCGACCGCAACCTGTGGCAAGCCATTGTTTCCGAGGCCTTGGCTAATCTCACCTACTCGGCATACGCGCAGAAAGCAATGGAAGAAGGATTGCCGGAGGTGGCCCAGGTCTTCCAGGAGGTTGCGGGAGCAGAAACCATTCATGGAATCACCCATCTCAAGGTCGCCGGAGATATCTCCGATACCGAGTCCAACCTCAAGCAGGTCATGGCTGAGGAAACCCGCGAATATTCCCGCACCTATCCGCGCATGATTCGGGAGGCCCAGGCTGAGGGCCGCACCGATGCCGTTCGCGCATTTACCCTGGCCATGGAGCGTGAGAAACTCCACCAAACCGCGTTTTCCAATGCGCTCGTAGCGTTTCAATCCTTCTCATTTTCTGAACCTGCGACGGCTGTCTCCTCGGCGGCCAACAGTACGAATCCGGTTCAATCCGAAGCATCTGCGGCGCCCGCGGTATCAACGCCCGATCCCGACCTTGACACCTACATTGCCGCCACCATGGAGGTGGACCGCGAGCCTCTGCGCGTCGCCAACCTGGGTCGCCTGCGTGAGGTGGTGTTTGGCGCGCAAGACGGAATCATCAGCACCGTGGCCCTCACTACATCCGTGGCCGCCGCCGTGGGCGACACGTCCACCGTGCTGGTTGCCGGCCTGGCCGCCGCCGCCGCCGGCGTCATCAGTATGGCCGCCGGGGCGTATCTGGGGTCCCGCGCCGAGCAGGACGTCCGCGACGCCGAAATTGCCCGTGAAATTCGGGAGCTGGAAGAGCAACCCGCCGAGGAATTCGCCGAGTTGGTCATCCTGTTGCAGCGCGAAGGGCAAACCTACGAAAACGCCGTGCGATTGGCCAATGACATCGCCCAGGACAAGACGATGTGGCTCAATACCCTCCTGGAAAAGGAACTGGGCATCACGCCAGGCGTTCATGGCAGCCCCTTCAAAGACGCCGCCGTGATGGGAGTTTCCTTCGGTCTCTCGGCAATACTGCCGATCGCGCCCTATCTGGCGCTGGATGTCAGCCCAACCGCCATCGCCTCATCCATCGGGTTGTCCCTGGCCGGCCTCTTTGGCCTGGGTTTGGCAAAAGGGCGAATCGTGCGCAAATCGCCGCTACTGCAGGGACTGGAAATCCTGGGGATCGGCGCCGTCTCGGCCGCATTGGGTTACGCGCTGGGTGAAGTCCTGCCCCGCTTGCTGGTCTTCTGACCCGCCCGACCCAGGCCAAAGCTCACCCGTCTAGTCGAACCGGGACAGCAAACTCCGCACCGCCGCCAGAAAGTCCGGCGGGTTGTCACCCTGCACCAGGTGACCGGCGTTCTCTACCGTTACGGTGGTGCAGTCCGGATGTTCCTCCGCCATGCGAACCATGGTCTCGTCAGCGAAAATATCGCTGCGCGCTCCTCTGACCACCAACGCGGGACAATCTATCTTGCGCCATCCGTCCCACAGTTGATCAGGCGTCCAGGTTGGGGCACGGAATCCGCTAACCCGCATCGCTTTGTCGTACTTCCAGGTCCATTTTCCGTCCTGCCGCTGCCGGATACTATACTTCAGCGCCCCCATGGTCTGCTCGCGGTTACGGCCGGTATATTCCATCACCCGAGAGGCAAATTCATCCAGCGTGTCGAGTTCATCAGGCAGCTCGCGAAACTGCTGGATGCGATTCTGGCCCCGGCCCGCTGCGTTTCGGGGCCGGTGTCCACAATCGTCAACGATTTCAGGACCCCCGGTCGTCCAGATGCCCACGCCAGGCTGTTGCGTCCCCCCATGGAATGCCCCATCAGGTGAAAATTTTCCAACCCCATCGCGCCGACGACCCCTTCGATATCACCCACGTATATGTCGGTGGAGTAGTACCCGTTCGGTGACCAGTCGCTGTCGCCGTGCCCCCGCTGATCCAGCGCAATCACCCGGTAATCCACCGACAGCGGCAGGCTTATGAAATCCCAACTGTGGGCCTGCTGGCTGATCCCGTGCAGCATCAATATCGTGGGGCGGTCGGTGTTCCCCCATTCCAGATAATGCAGGTTGATGCCATTGACCTCGACGAAACGGTCAACGGGTTCGTTCTCCAACGTAAAGGGAACGCCCATGCGGCGAGCCGCCTCGTGCAGCGAAAGTCCCAGGGAATGCGACGCCATCGCAACAACCTCCAGCCAGTTTGCCTGCTACCGATTATCTGCCGGACATATTACCACGGTGTACCCCACTGGATGCACACCCGGCCTGTCTCCCAGGACCTTTCGACTATCGTCAAATACGCCCGGCGCCTGGCATTACGAGGAGCATAGCGACGTTGCGAACTCGTTCCCGCATCTCACCCATCACCTGGATGCAACGTTGATGGTGCACCCATCTGGACAACCGAAAGACCCTGAACTCTGCGGCCATTCCTTGACTTTGCCTAAGGGCATGTTTACGATGTAAATAGGGCAAAAAATATCCCGAGCACGCGCTCGTACGGACCGAGGAGGACCTATGTCAGTCATGATCCTGATCCTGTCCGTCCTGGCGGCAGCGGGGTTAACAACAGGTTTAATCGCAGTGGCCTGGCTACTGCTTAGCACCAGAAAAAACGGTAACAAAATCCAACGCAGCCAAGAGGAAGCTGCCGCATCTGTTTCCAACGCTCAGGAAGAGCAGCGCCGAATCCTACTGGCAGCCCAGGAAGAAGCTCTGAGAATCCGTGAAGCCGGAGACCAGGAAATAAAAAATCAACGACGCGAACTAAATCGAATGGAGCGTCGTCATACCCAGAAAGAAGAGCAGCTTGACCAACGGTCATCGGGGCTCGACCACCAGGAATCCGAAATCGAACGACGCGAGTCAATCGCCCAATCCGCCCTGCAACAGGCGGAGGATGTTAAAGAACAGCATACCCGGGAGTTGGAACGCATCGCATCCCTCACTATCAGTGAAGCACGAGACATTGTTCTCAAGCGGAGCGAAGACGAAGCATCCCACGAACTGGCGAAACGTTATTACGAGCTCGAGAAGGAGCATCAACTCCGAGCGGATGACAACGCTCGCCGCATCATCACATTAGCTATCAACCGTCTGGCTACCGACGTCGTTTCGGAAAGCACGACATCTGTTGTTCCCCTGCCTAACGATGAGATGAAAGGCCGTCTCATCGGCCGTGAAGGACGTAACATACGGGCTCTAGAAGCCCAGACCGGAGTCGACATCATCGTTGACGATACGCCAGGTATTGTCACGCTCTCCTGCTTCGACCCGGTTCGCCGAGAAATCGCCAAACTGGCGCTGACCCAACTCGTCAGGGACGGTCGCATTCAACCGGCCCGTATCGAGGAAAGTGTAACCCGCGCCATCAGAGACATAGAAGAAACCATGTGGAAGGCCGGTGAGGAAGCCACCTTCGAGGTGGGCGTGAGCGGTCTGGATCCGGAGCTGGTTCGCCTCCTGGGTCGCTTGAAATTTCGCTACAGCTACGGGGAAAACGTGCTGGACCCATTCCATCGAAGTCGGCCTGCTGGCTGGAATGTTGGCATCAGAAGTCGGCGCCAACGTGCAAACCGCACGCGCCGGTGGCTTGCTGCACGACATCGGCAAGGCCATGACCCACGAGATTCCCGGCCCCCATGCTGAAATCGGCTACGATCTCACCACCCGAAACGGTGTGGCATCAATCGTTACCCACTGCGTGTTGGAACACCACGACGATGAACATTCCAGCATCGAATCTTTCCTCGTGGCTGCCGCCGACGGCATCAGCGCCGCCCGGCCCGGCGCCCGCAAGGAGTCAATCGAACAGTACACCCGTCGGCTCAAGGAACTGGAAGACACCGCCAACAGTTTCGCCGGAGTCCAGCGAGCTTTTGCCATCCAGGCCGGCCGGGAAATCCGCGTGATGGTCAGCCCAACCGACGTCGATGATATCGCCTGCGCCAGTCTGGCCCGCGACATCGCCGGCAAGGTTTCTCAGGAACTCCAGTTCCCCGGGCAAATCAAGGTTACGGTGATTCGGGAGACCCGGGAGGAAAGCATCGCCCGCTAGCGCCCCGCATACTTCACCCGGGTACAACATCGTGGGTCTGGAGCCTCCTTCCCTTACACGCTCCGGGCCCGCTTTTTTGCGAACCATTGCGCCAGCCCCAACGGAGATTATCATCACGATGCGCGTACTGATGATTGGCGACATCATTGGCAAACCTGGGCGCAACACTTTGGCCGTGCTGCTACCCAGGTTGCGTCAGGAACTTCACATCGACCTGGTTATCGCCAACGCCGAGAACACTGCCGGAGGCTTTGGCCTCACGCCCAAGACGGCTCAGGAACTGTTGAACGCCGGTGTCGACGTGATGACGTCCGGCAATCACATTTGGGACAAAAAGGAAATCCTGCCCCACTTCGATGAATTCCCCTTGTTGCGCCCCGCCAACTATTTCGGAGCGCCGGGTCGCGGCTGGTTGATGCACGGGGACGTGATGGTTCTCAACCTTCAGGGCCGTGTGTTCATGCCGCCCATCGACTGCCCCTTTCGTGAGGCAGACAAGCGCCTGCTAGAAGCCCAAGCCGAGTTGGGAACGCCTCCCCGTACGGTATTGGTCGATTTCCACGCCGAAGCCACTTCCGAGAAACAGGGTTTGGGCTGGTATCTGGACGGCAGGGTCAGCGCTGTGGTTGGCACGCACACCCACGTCGGCACCGCCGATAGCCGCATATTGCCCGGCGGTACGGCTTACGTTAGCGATTTGGGGATGACCGGTCCCGTCAACTCGGTTATCGGGACTGAACGCGCTCCCGTCCTCGAACGTTTCCGCACCGGACTACCCCAGCGATTCGAACCAGCTACCGGCCCATGTATCCTGAACTCGGTGCTGATCGATATCGACGATGCTACCGGTCGCGCCACCGACATCGTACGCATCGACCGCGCCGTCGACTAACACCAACCTGCCGAATATCACCACGGAGAAATGATGCCCATTACCGTTGACCTCCATCTTCACACCACCGCCTCCGATGGGCGTCTGACTCCCACCGAACTGGTGCAGCTCACTGCGTCCAGCGGATTGCAAACCATCTCCGTGTCCGATCACGACTCAACGGCGGGTCTGGCAGAAGCCCAACTGGCGGTCGACAACATACCAGGCATGCGCCTGATCCCCGGGATCGAACTGAGTTGCGACGTGCCCGGCGGAGAAGTGCACATGTTGGGCTACTTCATGGATATCGAAGACCCCGGCTTCCAGGAGGTGCTGGTCGGGTTTCGGCAGGGTCGCCTGGCCCGCGGTGAAGGCATGGTTCACAAACTCGCTGAATTCGGGATGCACATTGAATGGGCACGCGTGCTGGAGATAGCCGGTGATGCCTCCGTAGGCCGTCCCCACGTCGCTCAGGCATTGGTCGAAGCTGGCTACTTCACCGAACCCGGCGATGCGTTTCGGGAGTATTTGGGTCGAAACGGCAAAGCCTACGTCGAACGTTCCAAGTTGACCCCACCTGACGCCGTAAAACTCCTCAACGACGTGGGAGGCGTCGCTGTCTTCGCCCACCCCTGGTTTGAACGCCGCGGCAACGAGCCGGAGCCCGAACAATCACTGATCGCAACCGTGGAAGAACTCAAGGCTGCCGGTCTGCACGGGATGGAAGTACACTACTCAATGTATGACGAGGCAACGGTGGACTGGCTGGCAGATGTGGCCCGGGCCTACGACCTGATTCCCTGCGGCGGCAGCGACTATCACCACAGCGGCAATGCCAGAGAACCGGTGCCCGGCGTAAACGGTCCTCCCATGGAATCGGTCGAACGCCTTGAAGAAGCCGCCCGAAGGTTGGCCGCGGCCCGCCCCTGATTCCAATCCCTTGCAGCTCACCCGTTCTGTCCCACTAACCCCGTGGCCGAACCGTGTTCACTCTCATCGCACTTTGCGCCGTCGCCTACACCCTGGGAGCCGTCCCTACCTCGTACCTGTTGGCTCGTCATGTCGGCCACATCGACCTCCGACAACACGGCAGCGGCAATACCGGCGGCAGCAATGTTGCCCGGCAACTGGGCAAACGTTGGATGGCGGTGGTCGTGGTCATCGACCTCGGCCCGGGGAGCGTTAGCTCCATCGGTTGCAATGTTCCTGGCACAGCCGGATACATCCCCAGTTTTTTTTGCCTTGATTCCCGTTATCGTAATGCTCGGCAACTGTTGGTCTCCCTTCCTGAGGTTCACCGGAGGCCGCAGCGTAGGAGTGTGGGCAGGTGCCGTATTGGCGATCTCGCCGCCATTGTTCATTGCGGCCGTGATGGTATATTTGATCGGTTGGCGAGCCACCCGCAGATCAGCCGAGTGGATGTTAGCGGTTTTGGTGGCGCTCCCGTTCGTTAGCGCGGTTTTGCCAGACCAACTCATCCTGTTGGGCGATTCGCTGCAACTCACACTCTTTGCGGCCGGCGCTTCCAGTGTCATAATATTGAAACGGATGCTGGCCAACGGAGAGCCCCTCGCGCCAGACGAAGCCAAACTCAAGGTATTGTTTAATCGACTGTTAAGGGACCGTGATATATCAGACCGGAAACGATGGTTGTCCAGGTCACCGAGTCCACCAATGACCGACGGCGCGTAATGTTGGGCGAAGGTCCATTTCAGGACTGTGCGCGAGAGCTCGACGAGCTACCAGGCGAAAGCACCAATGGCTAACCCCCAAACCGAACCTCAGACCATGACCTGCCATTGGCACCCTGCAACCCAAACGGGTTTGTCTTGTAGCCAGTGCGGTCGACCCATATGCACCAGTTGCCTGGTTCAGGCTCCGGTGGGGATCAGATGCCGGGAGTGTGGCAAGGCGCGGCCACTACCCACTTTCGACGTACGTCCAGCGAACTACGTTCGGGCAATAATTGCCGCCGCCGCCATCCTGTTGTTATCCGTAGTGATCTGGTATTTCGTCGCGGTTTATGCCGGTAACTGGTTGGCAAGTATCATCATGCCGTTGGCCACCGGATACGGGTCCGGGGAATTGATCAGCCGGGCGGTGAACCTGAAACGCAGCCGTGCCTTGATGTACATCGCGGGCGGCACGGTAGTCCTGGCCACCCTGATCTCACTGGTTTTTTCCTGGCCTATCGCGGTCAGCCTGTGGGGTATTCTGGCCGCCGGCGGCGGAGTTCTGATCGCGATCGGAAGGGTACGCCTCTAATCATCCGGTCCACCGGCGAAGTCCATCCGCAGACGTTCTACCGTGTCGCGACAAACGCCGCTGCTGAATCCACGCCGCTGCAGAAATCCCCACATCTTCGTGCGAAATTCCCCAGCTGTAATCCCGTCAGCCTGCAACCACCGTTCAGCCCGTCGGGCGCCGGCCCGATAAGCATTGACATCCTCATCCACCTGTTCCAGCGCGGCGTCGATGACGTCAGCCTGCAACCCTTTTTGCCGTAGCTCTCTCCGCAAAAGCGCCACCCCTCGCGGGCCCCGCCGGTTACGGGCATCCCTCCACGCCACGGCGAACGCCGCATCATCGAGATACCCGTAACCGGCCAGGGCTTCCAGTACCCGTTGCGTTACCGGCTCCGAATATTCCCTGCCTATGCGCTTCCGCACCTCATCGACGGACCTGGACCGGAAGTTCATGAACCGAAAGGCAACCTGTAGCGCCCGGCCGTAGGATTCGTCCGAACCATCGGCGCTTGACGTTTGCTCGTGCTTTGCGGTATCGGCGGGTTGCATGGACTAATTCACGCTAATGGTGCTGGCGTCCGCAACATGCTCATCCGTTGCCACTACACCAGCGTCACCATGACCATTGTCGACGGTTTCCTCAGGCGTTTTTTCCTCTGGTTCCAAGCCCCCGCGGATCAGGGCCTCAATCTCTTCCGAGATATCGGTGCGCTCGGTCAGGAAATTTCTTGGAATTCTCCCTGCCTTGCCCCAACCGGGTTTCTCCGTAGGAATAGAAGGCGCCGGCTTTCTTGACGATACCGCGCGTTACGCCGATATCCAGCAGATCGCCCACCTTACTGATGCCCACGTTGAACATGATGTCAAACTCGGCCACCCGAAACGGCGCCGCCACCTTATTTTTTACAATGCGCGCCCGCACCCGATTCCCGATAATCTCAGAGCCCTGCTTCAAGGACTCCGAACGTCGCAGGTCGATGCGTACCGAGCTGTAGAACTTGAGCGCGCGGCCACCGGGTGTAACCTCAGGGCTTCCATAGGAAACGCCGATCTTTTCGCGAATCTGGTTTTAATGAATATCACCGCGGTTCGGGACCGGTTGATGGCCGAGGTGAGTTTCCGCAGCGCTTGCGACATCAGCCTGGCCTGCATACCCACGTGAGCGTCGCCCATATCGCCGTCGATCTCGGCTTGCGGCACCAGTGCTGCCACGCTGTCGATGACGATGGCATCGATGGCTCCGCTCCGAACCAGCTGCTCGGTAATGTCCAATGCCTGCTCTGCAGAGTCCGGTTGCGAGATAAGCAACTTGTCCAGGTCCAGTCCGCAATTGGTGGCGTACTGCGGGTCCAGCGCGTGCTCGACGTCAACGTACGCCGCCAAACCACCCATACGTTGTGTTTCGGTCATTATGTGAATCGCCAGCGTGGACTTGCCGGCTGACTCTCCACCGTAAATTTCGGTAACCCGACCCCTCGGCAATCCGCCCACTCCCAGCGCCAGATCCAGCGACAACGATCCCGTCGGAATCACGTTGGTTATCAGATGCGCTACCTGGTCATTGCCCTGCATCACCGCGCCCCTGCCGTGATCCTTCTCGATACGGCCTAGGGCCAACTCCAGGGCAGCCAGTTTGTCCTTATCCAGATTGAGTATCTCGGCGTTGATTGCCATCGCGATCCTTCCTCCCTACTGCACTGTATCTATGCACATATTAGCACGTGTGTTCCATTTTACTCAATGGCGCCTTGACACTAATTGGCAAATCACCAAACTTCCTGAACTGCGGTGCGGATGTTGCGACTCCTGTCGAACCTGGCGAATTTCGGGGCGCACGGCCCCGAGTCTAAAAGTCTCAAAACCCGCCCTGGAAGCCGATGGTAACGGTGCCGTTCTCCACAATGATCGGCGTAATGCGCTCTCCGCCGGAAAGCTCCAGCAATGCGGGCACCTGATCCGGTCGCTTGGACACATCTATCTCGGTATATGCAACTCGCTGGCGACGATAATGCATCTTGGCCTGCGCCGAAAACGGACAGTCCGGGTGGGTATAAAGAATGATTTCCGGTTGGGCTTCGGTGGTCAAAACAAACTCCTGAGTGTCGCGCACGTCTGGCGCACGGGTCTCGCATCTGGATACGTAATTGTACGTAGGCGCAATTAATTTCGCAACGCACCACGAACCGTTGAGCCCCACCCGGGTACCGACTCTTCTAGATCGGCACCGGCTGCTCCTCCAGCAACTCGGCGATCACCGACTCCTGGCTGCGTTCGCGGAGGCGCGCCATGCCTTTTTAGAATGATGCGGTGGGCCAACGCCGGCGTCGCCAGCGATTTTATGTCGTCGGGCGTAACGTATTCCTGACCACGAATTCCGGCCAGGGCCTGGGCGCAACGATACAGGCCCAATGTTGCCCGCGGGCTCGCCCCCAGTTCAACGTCCGGATGAACCCGTGTGGCGCGTGTCAACTGCATCAGATAATTACGCAGTACCGGATCCATATACACCCGTCGTACCATCTGCTGGATTCGTACCACGTCTTCGGCAGTTGCAACGGGTTTTAACGAAGATAGCGGATCCGCGGTCTCGAACCGCTCCAGCATCGCCTCTTCGTCGTCCTCCGACGGATATCCCAACCTCAAGCGCAACAGAAAGCGGTCGATTTGTGCTTCGGGCAGCGGAAACGTCCCTTCCAGCTCGATGGGGTTCTGGGTTGCCAACACCAGAAACGGAACCGGCAAAGGCACCGTTTCCTGGTCAACGGTAACCTGCTGCTCGCCCATCGCTTCCAGCAACGCCGACTGCGTCCGGGGAGTGGCCCGGTTGATCTCATCAGCCAGCACTATCTGGGATATCACCGGCCCCGGCCTGAATTCAAAATCCCCGCTGCGCTGGTTGTAGTAGTGGATGCCCGTAATGTCAGACGGCATCAGGTCAGGCGTAAACTGTATGCGGCGAAAATCGCAGTCCAGCGAGTAGGCGAGTGAGCGCGCCAACGTGGTTTTGCCGATCCCCGGGCACGTCTTCCACCAATACGTGGCCGCCGCTGAACAATGCTGCCAGCGTTTGCTCGATAACCTCATCCTTGCCGACTATCGCCAGCTGGATATTCTCCCGGATGGCGGCGGCGACGTCTGCTATGTGCCGTGCGTCAGAAACTGTAATCAATACACACCCTGCTGGCTCGACACCGTTCGGCTGGCGATATGCTGCTCGACTTCCCGCAAATCTTTCAACGAATCTACACTGCGCCAAAACGCGCCGGAGTGCACCGCTGACATCTGGCCTCGTCCCGCCAGAACCGGGAATGTGGTGACCTCATGGTCTCCCCGTTCGGGCAGCAACTTGCAGATCGCCGGGTTCAGCACGTATACGCCCGCATTAATCTCGTACGGAAGCGCCGATTTTTCTTTGAACGCCCGCACCACCCCATCAGCTTCGGTCTCAACGATACCATAAGGGCTCGTCATAGACACCGTGAGGATGGTAGCCAAATGCCCGGCATCAGCGTCAACGCGGCTGCTGAAGTCATTGATCATATCGTCCAGGTTCGCTTCCGTAACCACATCTCCGTTGGTGGCGATCACCAGTTCGTCAGTTCCTGAAGGCATCAACTCAAAGCCCTTGCGTAGTGCCCCACCCCTGCCCAAAGGGGCGTCTTCATAACTGTAATGAGCCCGAATGCCAAACTCGCTGCCGTCTCCAAAGTAATCCACCACAACCTCTGCCAGATGCCCCAACAGGAAAACCACATCGGTCACGCCCGCATCGCGCAACCACCGTACCTGATGCCACAGGATGGGCCTGCCGTCCAAAGGGATCATCGGTTTGGGCAACGACTCGGTGAGTGGCCGCAATCGCTCCCCTATGCCTCCGGCCAATATCAAAGCATACATGGCAAGCGGTATGTTACGCCCGGCAACCTTCGGGGTCAACGCCGGTTCAATCAACCTGATAACCAGGCCTCGCTGATGGACGTTCCGCGGCTATCGTCACAATCTACGGAGTCATCACAGGTATAATGGCACAGCCATCCTCAACAACCAAACCAGGAGGCCGCCATGCCATATCCAGGACTTGATCTGACCGGACGAAAGGCTCTGGTGACGGGCGCCGCAAGAGGTATTGGAGCCGCTCTCGCGGTCGGATTGGCGCAGGCTGGCGCAGACGTCGCCGTCAGCGACCTGCCCACCGATGCAGCGCGTGCCGGCCTTGCCGATACCGCCCGCCGAATCCGAACAGAAGGCAGGTCAAGCTATCAGTACGACATGGACGTACAATCGGTGCCCGCCATCAACGCCACCATCCAGCACGCCGCCGGCGACCTCGGCGGATTGGACATCTTGGTGAACAACGCGGGCATCCGTCGTCGGGCGCCGGCCCTCGAGGTTACCGAAGAAGATTGGGATGCAGTTCTCGACACCAACCTGAAGGGCGTTTTCTTCTGCGCCCAGGCCGCCGCACGGCTCATGATCCCCAACCACTTTGGCAGAATCATCAGCAGATATCCAGTACCACTGTGATCATCGAGTCTAGGTATTTATGGGCCAGCGGAGCCGCGACACCGCGCGGCATATTGCTCCAGCAAGGCCGGCGTTGCCAACTTGACCCGTGTGCTGGCGCTGGAATGGGCCGAGCACGGCATCACCGTAAATGCCATCGGTCCCGGACGCACACACACAACGACCCTGCAGGCCTGCCTCGAAGCTGACAATTGCCGCGATCCGATTCGCTGGCAGAGCCAGTATTTGCATGCAAACGTGACGAGGACCCGATACGGACGCCCTTCCACCGCCCGTGCGTGGGCGCCGCCTGTGCCCGCCGCTGATATTGGTGGCGGTGCTAGTCGATATCTGCGCCAGCGAGCTCCGCAGCTGCCACCACGCGTGACACCTGACTCGCAGTGGTCTTTTGCCGGCGTTTCCCTAGCGACGGCGCATACGCGGGGCATAACTGCCAGATCTGCTGTACACGTCTTCAGCGCAGATTTTTGCTATCACGTCACGGTATTGCACTTGCACTCCTCAACCGCGATAAAAAGCTCAGCGTGCGGATACTACTGCGACCAATCGTATCGCACGAACCTTCTGGAGGCGATTGATTATGAAATTCGGCATGTTTTACGAATTGCAGATGCCCCGACCATGGACCGATACGGCTGAATACGACACCTTGTGGGACGCGGTGCGACAGGTACAGTATGCTGAGGAAATGGGCTTCGAGCGCGTCTGGCTCGTTGAGCACCACTTCCTCACTGAATTCGCCCATTCGTCGGCGCCCGAAGTGATGCTGGCCGTCATGGCCCAGCACACCAAGAAAATGCGCCTGGGATTCGGCGTCGTCCTGGCGCCGGTGCACAACCCGTTGCACGTCGCAGCCAGAGCGTCCACCCTGGACATCCTCAGCGATGGTCGTGTGGACGTCGGCGTCGGCCGCACCAAGGGACCCTACCAGCTCACTCCTTTCGGCACCGACGTGGCGCAAACCCAAAGCATGATGGTGGAAACCCTGGAAATGCTGCCCCGCATGTGGTGCGATGAGGTATTCAGCCACAGCGGAGAAAACTGGACCATCCCGCCCCGAGAGGTTATACCGCGCCCGTTGCAGCAGCCCCATCCCCCGCTGTGGATGGCCTGCACCCAGGAAGACACGTTCCGCCTGGCCGGACAGCTGGGAGTCGGTTGCCTGGTAAACACACTGCGGCGGCACCGACAAGACCCGGGGATTGGTCAACGCCTACTACGAAGCCATCGAGAACGCCGTGCCAGTGGGCCGGTTCATCAATCGACAGGTCGTAGCCTCCACCATTGGCTTCTGCGACGAAGACGACGCCCGCGCCCGCCGGAAAGGAGCGGAAGTTGCCGCCTGGTACCTGGAACAGAGCCGCCAGCGGTTCACCCTGGAGTGGGCCGGCGTCGACGCCGACGCTGTTCCCGAGGAGTACCAGTTCTACGTGCAGGGCGGAGCAACCCGGGGCGGCAGTCCGTCCCAGGACCCGCAACAGCAAAAACCCCCCACACCCGAAGACCTGCTGGCCGGCGGCGGTTATTGCGTTGGCGACCCGGACGCCTGCATCCGCGTCATCGAAGAGTTCGAGGCCATGGGTGTCGACGAGATCATGCCCATCTTCCAGGCGGGTCATGCCACCAATGACGAAGTCATGAATTCAATTCGCCTTTTCGGAGAGCATGTTATTCCCCACTTTCGCGCAAAAGAGGCCCAGGGCGCGTAAAACGTCGGCCCGCACCAGGGCGGAAAGGATGGACAGGGTGATAAGATTTAATCCTGATTTTCCGGTCCCTCCTGTGTATGCCGGTTCATCCTGTGTATCAATGTAGGTAAAGGGCGTTTTTGATGACCACCATCGCTCAACCGGAAACCGCCGGTCAGCCAATCGCATCCCGCCCGGTCAAAACACCGGTGGTGTCCGTGGTGGCCACCACCCCCGAGACGGTGTTGGCCGACGTGGAACGTGCCATGCGTCTCGCCGGCGCCGAGCAGGTGTTGTCGCGCGACCTGGAAACACTGCTCAAGATCAACATTTCCTGGCAGCACTGGTATCCCGGCTGCTCCACCGCGCCCTGGCAATTGGAAGGTGTGGTCTGCGCCTTGCACAACCTGGGCCACTCCGACCTGATTGCCGCTCACAACGGCACCGTCGTCGTCGATTCCTTCGAGGGCGAGGTCAACAACCGCCACAAACCGGTGCAGGACAAATACAACCTGCGCACCGTGCATCTCGACACGCCGCCGGAACCGTGGGTGCGCTACGTACCGAAGGCCGAAATGTTGGTGCTGGACGATATCTATCCCGAAGGGATCGAGATACCGCAAATCTTCGCCGGCAAGAACATTGTCCACCTGCCCACCATGAAAACCCACGTCTTCACCACCATGACCGGCGCGATGAAAAACGCCTTCGGCGGTCTGCTGCACCGCAAGCGTCACTGGACCCACTCGGTGATTCATGAAACGCTGGTGGATTTGTTGGCCATTCAGCAGGAGATACACCCCGGCATCTTCGCCGTGACCGACGGCACCTTCGCCGGCGACGGGCCCGGCCCCCGGGCCATGCGTTGGCACGTCAAGAACCGCATCGTCGCCGGCGCCGACCAGGTGGCCGTCGATGCCGTGGTCGCCTCCATGATGGGATTCGATCCGTTGTCCATTCAGTTCATCCGCCTGGCCCACGAGCGCGGTTTGGGCATCGGTGATATGCGCCAGATCGAAGTTGTCGGCGACGAACCGGACATCAGCCGCGTCAACTGGAATTTTTCAGGAACAGAGAACACCTTCGCCAGCCGCGGCCAGAAACTCATCTACTGGGGCCCGCTCAAGCCTTTGGAAAACGCCCTGCTCCGCTCACCAATAGCAGCTTGGGCCTATGCTGCCAGCAACCTCTACCACAACGGGTACTGGCTGAACACCATCGGCAAATCCAGAATCAAAAAAGCCCTCAAAACCGAATGGGGCCAGCTGTGGGCGGAGTATTAGTGCCTAAAAACCTCCTGCCAACAGCGGACGACGCAAGGGCATGGCAATGCATATCACCAGGTTGAGATATGGCTGGGTTCCTCCTATCACGGAGTCAATCTCCTTCGAATTCGACGAACGGGTGAACGTCCTGACCGGGCCTAACGCATCGGGCAAATCAACCACGATGTTGATGATCGATATTTGCTTCAATGGCGCGAAAGAAGACGCGAAATTTCCGATATCGCGGGGGATGGAGCACCTAACGCCAGCGGCAATCCCCGATGCCGAATTCGATGAATCTTGCGAATGGTCGCCGAATGTCGTCGCTTTCGACCCCGAATGGGACAACGCTACGTTCGGCACCAATCGGTCTCAAGCTGTTCCGCCGGTAATCTACATCGGACCGATAAGATCGGGACTGCCGGGGATAATGGAATTAGCAAATGCTCAATTAGATACGGGTTCATTGTCAGATGTCCTGGCCTGCCCATTTGGCGGGATAACTTGGTACAGTGCACGACAATTGTTGCGGGAGACGCTTCGGCCTGAAAATACGTCCGATCACCATCAGCTGGCCCGCCGCAATTTGTGGGCTGCAGACGAACTCGCCGACGCCTGCAGCATGGACATCTGTGGCGAAGTTATTAAATCGTCCGGCACCCACAATTACGTTCCGGGTCCAGACCATCGCGGGTACTTGAACCACCCAGACGCTGATCCAAATCGAATTCGCCTTCTCCGTACTTTGGGTATCGACACTACGGATCCACGCAACTTCCGTAATCTTTCAGTTTGGGAAGAACCTGATTATTCCGCTTACCGAGAGGGCGAAGGTGAACCAATACCAATATATCTGGGGCACTTGAGTGGAGGGACTGAAGGTACACTGCTTTGGATGCGGTGGTTGGCGCTAAAAATGCTGGTCCATCACGACTTCGCTGACGGTTGGGAGGAAATGCCCGCCGTCCTCCTCATTGACGAAATCGAAAACCATCTGCACCCCACCTGGCAACGACGCGTTATCCCTGCTCTACTCAAGCACTTCCCTGGCTTGCAAATCTTCGCGACCACCCACTCGCCCTTTGTAGTAGCCGGCCTCGAAAAAGGCCAGGTCCACCTGCTCAACCGCGACGAGAACGGAGTGGTAACCGCCACCACAAACGAGCAGGACATTATCGGCTGGACTACGGACGAAATTTTGCGCACTTTCATGGGCGTGGATGAGCCAACTGACGAAATCACGGTACGTCGTTCCGGTCGTTTGCGTGAATTGCGAGAGAGAGAAAGTCTCACTGACGATGAAGAAACGGAGCTGGAAGAATTGCGTCGTCAGGTCAACGAAGACCTGTTGTCCCGCGGGCCATTGAACGCTCAACGCGAACGGTACGCGGATTTGATGCAGCGGTTCCTGATTTCCAGACAGTCAGAATTATCACAGGATGGCGACTAGACACCGTGCGTTGGGTCGATCGCGGAGTCGCGCCCGACGGCGTTGACGGTTACGCCCGGCAGTTCACGCAGGGTTGGGTCGATCACTTTCGCAACGGAATCGGGGGCCGACCCACCGATCACTATTGGAGCCAATTCCGCCAAGGATTACGAATCCGCTTTAACAACAACTGTGGTTACTGCGAACGCGAGTGCGACACCGAAGCCGAGATTGGCGGGCGCACGTCCACCGTAGATCACTTCGTGCCGCTAAATCACGAACCCGAACGCGCTTACGATTGGTCAAATTGGGTTTTCAGTTGCCGTAGATGCAACGGAGAATACAAGCAGGGTAGATGGCCTGATGTCGGATTCGTCGACCCTTGTGCTGATGATGCAACGAACAGGCCGGATCAATATTTCGATTGCCTCCAGGAAACCGGGGAGATTACCGCCAAGCCAGGCCTAACGGAACAACGGCGGCAGCGAGCCAATACGACCATCGCGGACATAGGCTTGAATGAATTGGACGTCCGCTTCTATCGGTTTGACTGGATACGGACGCTGCGCGAAGACCTCATGTCGCTCCCAATATCCGACCGGCAAGCGCTCGTAGCATTTTACGTCCGGGCACCCGTCGAATTTGCCGGCATTACCGCGATGTTTGCAGAGCAACTCCGCCAAGCCGGCGAGCTGTGATCACTCGCCTTCACCCATCGCCCCCACCACGTCCCCCCAGCTCACGCCCCACTCCCGCGCGGCCCGCGCCACGTCGTCGTACTCCGGTGACTGGCTGACCAGTTCGCCGCCCAGCCATTTGCGCTTGACCCGTATCTTGCCGAACCGCGTTTCGACCGTCACCACGTCCCGTTCCGCCACGTAGCGACCCACCGCCCGTATCCGTACCCCCAGGGTCGGCGTGTCCCGCAAAAATATCTCGGACATCCGTGATTCCAACGATGCCGGAGCCATCGCCGATAGCACCACGCCAGGGCGGTTCTTTTTCATCTGGATGGGCGTGTACCAAACGTCCAGTGCACCCGCCTCAAACAGCTGCTCCATGGCAAAACCGATCTGCTCACCGGTGGCATCGTCCAGGTTGGTCTCCAGCAGAATGACGTTGTCCTGCCACCGGGCCAGGGGAGGTTGTCCATCGCCACCCGGTTCGGGTCGCAGGTCAGCGCCCGCGGTGTCTCCCAGCCACAACCGTACCACGTTGGGAAACGCGGCCGGATCCTTGCCGCCGATGCCCACGCCAATCCGGTCCAGGGCCATGGCCGGCTGGCGGAACTGGGCCAGCGTAGCGATCAACGCCGCCCCGGTGGGAGTGGTCAGCTCCCCCACTCCGGCGTAGATGGGTCGGTCAGGTGCGATGGGCGCTTTCGACGCGGCAATGATCTCCAGCGTGGCCGGCGCCGGGTTGCTGTACCCGCCGGGGTCGGCGCGGGCCGGTTGCTTCGCCCAAAACCAGCGGAGATGCGTACACCCGCTCAACCGCCAGGTATTCCAGACCGGCGGCAACTCCCACCACATCCACCAGCGTATCGGCGGTTCCCAATTCATCCAGATGCACGGCGGCGCGGTCGTGTCCGTGAACCTTGGCCTCGGCATCGAAAAGGGCGTTGAGCACCGCCATAGCCTGCGAACGCACTCCCTCCGACAATCCCGCAGCGTGCGAGACTATGTCCAGCATCTGTTGTGGTGAATACCGTTTCGCTGCCGACACGTCCACCAGCGCCCGCGCGCCCCTGACCTCACAACGAACATCGATTTGGGCGCTCACCACCACACCGCTGATGCCCAGGGCGCCGATTGCTGCCTCGATTACATCGACCGGAACGCCGCCGTCCAGCAACGCCCCCAGCAGCATGTCGCCGCTGGCTCCCCCCACCGACTGGATGTATGCGGCCCTCATGCTCGATTGCGACGCAAACCAGTCAACCCAGGTTACGACGCCCCAGACGCGGTCTCGGTGGTTCGCAATACGTCGTTGAGGCTGCCCGAGCGCAGGCCGCTCAAATCCAGAGACACCCACAGGTATCCCAGAGCCTTGAGCCGGCTCACGATCTCCGCCCGACGCTCAAACGCCAGGTCCATCTCGTTCTCACCCACCTCGACCCGGCACAGCCGGTCGTGGTGACGCGCCCGCACCTCCCGCAGTCCCAGCTCCCGCAACGCATCCTCCGCTTCTTCGATCCGACCCAGCGATTCGATGGTCACCGGCGTGCCGTACGGTATCCGGGATGACAGGCAGGGCTGCGCCGGCTTGTCCCACAACGGCACCCCCAGCCAGCGAGCCGCCTCCCGAACCTGCGCCTTATCAATTTGCGCTTCCACCATCGGGCTGCGGACATTGTGCTCAGTTGCCGCCGTCATGCCGGGACGATAATCCCCCAGATCGTCGGTGTTGGCGCCGTTGGCAATCCAGGCGATGTCCTCATCGGCAGCGACGACACCCAGCTGATCGTACAATTCCGTCTTGCAGAAGTAACACCGCATTGGCGTGTTGGCAACGTAACCCTCTCGTTCCAGTTCGGCGGTGCGGATCACCCGATGGTTGATCCCGAACTGATCGGCCACCTGTTCAGCATCGCCAAGGTCACGGGCTGCCAGCGCCGGCGAGATTGCGGTAACCGCCAGCGCGTTGCTGCCCAAGACGCGGTGCGCCACGACTGCCAGCAACGCGCTGTCCACGCCACCGGAGAAGGCGATTACCACCGATCCCATGTCGCGCAATATCGCTTCCAGGCGATCCAAACAGTCGGGTTTCGTTGCAGTCTGATTTCCGTTAGGTTGTGTCATAATGTCGCCGGTTCAAGTCGGAGTGGGTTCAATACACGGCCTATTCTACTACAACCGCCAAGGCCATTCTTGAGGGGTCTCAGATGACGGTTCAGTCGATTAGCGCAATCACGCTCGCCGTTCAGGACATGAAGCGTTCCGTGGCCTTTTACCACGGCGGCGCCGGCATTCCCATCCTGTACGGTGGAGCCGACGCCGGCTTCACTTCGTTCCAGATCGGAGACGCATACCTCAATATTTGATCCTCTCCCACGATGCACAAATCAAATGGTGGGGGCGCTGCATCCTGTACGTGAACGATGTCGACGCCCACCATCGCCGGATGATAGAAGCGGGATACACTCCCGATACCGAACCCACCGATGCGCCCTGGCGCGAGCGCTATTACCACATCACCGACCCCGACGGGCACGAGATCAGCTTCGCACGACCGTTATCAACTTCAACCACACTAACATAGCAGAATCCATGCACCGCGTCACAAGTCCAGCGCGTACAGATACAGTGTCAAGCTCGTGTGCGGGAAGGCGTGGTCTTCGATCTCCCGGTAGCCTCGATGTGCCAGGAAACTCATCGCGGCGGTTAGATGATTGGCCGTCCACACCGTCGTCCGAACGTATCCAGCGTCCCGGGCAAACTCTTCGGCCAGGTCCAGCAGCCGCGACGCGATGCCCATGCGTCGCACCGAACGGTCGACCGCCAATCGACGTATTTCCGCCTCTTCGTCGCTGCGCCGGTAAATGCCGATGCAGCCAACTGCTTTCCCCTCCAGTTCAGCGATCCAGAAGTTGCTCCCCGGCCGTTTCCACGTAACTACGCTGAATGTTGGCGAGGTCGCGAGTGATGGCGCCGTCCAGGAACTCCCTGAATCCCGCCCGGTCTTCCGCAGTATGCAGGTAGCTTTCGGCGAAATCTTCCTGCCCGTGCAAAAATAGTCCCCTGGCGGCTTCATTGTCTTCAGGTTTGAAATGGCGTATGGAAATCATAAGGACAACGGCGGTTGGCGACAGTTCACGCGGGGATCAAGCGTCGATCGGGAACACGGTTAGGTGTTGATCAGGAAATTGATTATGTCGCCGTCCCGTACCGGATATGCCTTGCCTTCGGAGCGCAACAGTCCTTCCTTCCGCCCCTGCGCCATCGTGCCGCAAACGTAAAAATCATTGTAGGCAATGACTTCCGCCCGTATGAACCCGCGCGTGAAATCAGTATGAATCACACCCGCGGCATCCACGGCCGGCATCCCCCGGGGTACGCTCCAGGCCCTCACTTCGTCCTCGCCAACCGTGAGAAACGACGCCAGCCCCAGGTGTCATAGCTGGCGCGTATCACCTGAGAAGTGCCGAATCACCCAGTTCAAGATCAGCGCGAAATTCCGCCGCCTCCTCCAGTTCCATCATACCCAATTCCGCCTCCACCCTTGCGCTGATACTCACCTCGCCCACGCCACGGATCAGATCCGGATCGATGTCCAGATCAGCAAGTCGCAACGCGTCCGCTCCTTCGTCGGTATTCATCACCACAATTACTGCCTATCGGTCAATAACTGGTAGTGGACCAGGAACGCTCTTTCAGAATCCGTCAACTGCTGCAACCGCAACGGCGTCCCGGCGTCCAGGCCCAACCGCGCCTTTTCGACGGCATCCTTGTGTCGCGCTACCATGGACCGCTCGGCGGGTTTGGTTTTCATCAACTGGTCGTCCAGCCGCCGAGATGCACGCTGGAGAACCTCGAGGTCGGCGAAGGACAATTCATCCAACATGGTCTCCAGATTCCGCGCCGCATCGATCTCGCCGTTATGTTGCGGCACCAGTTCGTTGGCGAACGCCCGCACCACGACCAAAAACGCGGTCGCCGATTGCAACACGTTCCGGTAGCGCCCCTTGATGCCCTGCGATTTCGCCATCGATTCCGGACCCGGCAAATCAGAGTAACGGATCTCGGCCGGCACCACCTTGCGAGGTTTGTATATCCCGGCCAGGTATTCCAGCCTGGGGTCGGGCACCTTTACGACACCCAGGTGCATCTCGGTCGCCGAGATGCCGACTACGTGGAGGTCCGATTTGGCAAGGGTCAGCGCGTGCCGGATAGCTGGTCTTGCCAGATTGCGGCAGACCAATTATTACGACGTCCATACCGGGTCAGCCCTCTTCCTCAACCCTTTCCGATATGACAACGGTAGCCAGTTACAACCGTCGTGTGGGACGTAGCGAACGCCGTGCGTTCACGATGCTGGTGGCCGCGGCCTGATCGCCGGACCCCTTGCGATACACCTGTCGCTCGCCACATTCGCCGCGCAATTGCCGCACGGCCTCCACCAGAAGGGAAAGCTGC